AATAGAATAATAATAGATATAGAAATAAATAAAAATGTCTATCACAAATACAAATAAGGAAAAACGTTTAGTGATACATATATCGGCTGAGATATCGTGAAAAATTATCAGGTGACGATAGTCACAACATATCTATTAAAATGATCCCAAATCTAATAAAACTACTATAATTATTGCATCAAACCCATCTTCCCACCTTAAAACTCATCTCCTATTTTTTAGTCAATATGGTTTTGGTATTTATTTATTCTTATTAAATATTTTAACTCATATTAACACATCCGTCAAATATTCGTCATAATTTTTAGGGTAGCAGCAGTTTTCGTCATTCCTGGGACAACTAAAAATTTCGATAACAATAAAAAAATACTTTAGATATCCAATATGCTAATAATTAAAATTATAAAGTTTGATTACGTATTTTTATCGTCTTAAGAAAAATTCAATTAATAGAAAATGCACATTGATTTTATTACAAATTTGTAACAAACCATCTTGATTAAAACATATAAATTTTTTCTGTCGATTTTTGTTTTCAACCCAAATATAAGACACACACACATCGATATCCTCAAAATCAAAATGCACCACCTACCTACTAGTTTTTAACTATTTTTGCAGGAGGTTTCCAAATTACCAGGTCGGAATGCATCGAAGTAGGGTTAGGGTTAGCTATACTGGTTAGCTGGGGTTATAGTAAAATTATCAGCTAGGCATTTTTACATAATAAATAATTATGGTTTCATTGGTGATATTGGGCATCCGATCTGGCCTGGGATCTCCCTATGTGAGTTCCCTGTATGAAGTAAGTGAACGTACATTGTTTCACAGCATTATCATTTCACAGCATTTATTTTGGCTACTGTACATAAAAAGGTCAGTATGTCGTACGTACGTACGTACATAGTTTACTGCCTATCAGCTATTATGAACGATTGTATTTACGCAATTCTTGGTGATCTTACAACCGATAGTAAAACTTTATTCTCACGCTGCCTTATTAATCGTCTTTGGTGTCTAAACACAATACCAATATTATGTAGTAACCCATTTCAACGGTGTTTCCAAATCGCTTGTGCAAACTTACATTTCAACATTATCTCCTGAAGAAAAGGAACCACTAATCTCATTTGGTATAACACTTTCAAAAACGTTATTTGATTATGGTACATTTTTAAGGTTCTTGATACTAGTTTGTTAAGAAATGGAATAGAAACATGGCTTAAAAGTGAAGATCTTATTAAACAACGCTATAAAACGTTGACATTAGCATATACAATTATGATGGAATCTTTGATTACAATGTTTCTTCGAAGAAGTGAAATCTTAAGAGTTATTGATCAATAATCAGCATATATTTCCGACAGTAACAGCACTCTTAAATGATAAACCAGGATTAACACAATTAAAAACATTACGGTCAAGTTAAATTCCACCAACACGA